GGAGGGGGCGCTGCTCATCCTCCAGCAACCAGATGTATGAGGGGGGGGAGGAGAGGGGGAAGAGGAGACCTTATTCACACCCTGGCAAGCAGCTGTGCAGGATGGGGGGACCCTGCTCACACCCCAGCACACACCTCTGTTGGGGGGGCTCTGCTCACACCCCAGCAAACAGCTCTGTGGGGGGGACCCCCACAAACCCCCACTCACTCCCCAGAGCCGGGGAGGGGAAGGGGGGCGGACCCTGCTCACCCCCACAAGCAGCTGCGCGTGGGGGAGACACTCCCTCCCTCCAGCCCCGCCCCCGCTCCTCCCCGTGCCAACCCCGCATGCGCCGCGCGGCGGCCGGATGCACAGCTGGATAGAGCCGCCAGCTGCGCGGGGGCGGGGTCATGCAAATGACGGGGTGTGGCCGTGCGGGCAGCGGGGAGGCTCGCGGGGGCTGCAAGCCCGCGGGCCCGGGGAGGTTGGATGCGATGCAGGGACATCACCTGCCCCCGCCTGCACCTCCGTGCCCCGCGGGGGCCGTGTAGCAGGGGAAGGAAGGCCACGATGATGTTGCACAAAGGCTTTGCGGATGCAAAGGCAAAGCAGAGCACTTGGGACCCTGCTGCACCTTCCAATGAGAGCTGGGTAGAGACCAGCTCTGGAGTTGGGACACACTTTGAAGCACTAACTGTGGCTGCCAAGCTGAGGTGCCCGCTGCGCGCGCAGCAGCAACATGGGCACAACTCCCACAGTGGGTCCCATCTGCCGGAGCTGGTCTAGCCACCCCACCCCGCGCGCAGAAATCTCAGGGAATGGCACAGGTGTAATATCTTTTATTTAACCGACTAGATACAGGCTGTTCTTGACTAACGTTTCGAGTCACAACGTTTCGCACTTACGACTTTTATAAGTTGACACCCTGATTCAACTTTCTGACATCAGTTTTGACTCGATCCAGCACCACACCGGCGAGCAAGTTTGCTGCCCATCTCCCTGGAGAACATCTGTCCAAACTGCCTTGGACACTTTCTTTAATAAAACAGACGAGACTCCAGAAAAACCTGCGGCCAAGACCCCTTCAAAAAGTCCAACCAAGAGTCCTTCAAAACATCCAGCAATGTCACCTCAAAGAAGTGCTTCCAAATCAATAAGATTGCTATTTACAATATACATACATTCATGTAGCTATATTACTCATCTATAATTGATTGAGTACAAAGTTCTGGGGGGGGTTGGTGAAAATAGGGTATCGGGCCTTGGTTCAGGAACCAATCCCCATTTATAACATTGTTTCCTATGGGAAAATGGTTCTGAGTTACAACGTTTCGACTTAAGACCCGATTTCCAGGAACCAGTTGTGTTGTAAGTCTGAGAACTGCCTGTATTTGCAAAAAAAAAAAGGTCTGGGTATGAAGTGACCTTCTTCATGTCTATTTGCAAGCTGTCCTGCACAGAGCCCAGAATATTGTCTATATGCCTCCTAATCATACAGTTGGTTCAATAAACAATAAAAATATCATCCACAAAAATCCTTGACTCTCCTGCAGAGTCCTGCACAGGCACCCTTCTCCGCCTTTTGGCTAAGATCAAGTGTGACTGAAGGCATCTGAACTCCCCGCCTGGACTCCGGGCCTGGGACTTGGATGCCCGCCTGGATGTGGCGTATCTGACCTGCCTGGGGTCTAGGAGGGGATACTGGCCCAGTAGGAGATTGCAAAGACTGTAAAAGTTCTCCTAGGTAGAAATGAAAATTCATGCACATTTATCGTGACCCCATCGCATCATGACTGATGTTGGGTCATCAGCAGACCCAGAGTTTGGGAACAGCTGCCTTAGTGTGTCTCAGTTTGTTGCAGGATCAACCAGTGCAGTGTGTAATACATGTAACGTGCAGCCGGGGCGTTTGAGTAGCACGGGGGTGCTCTAAAACCAAAATCAAAAAGAAAGCATTCCATGCTGTAGCATTTATTAATGTATTGCCCATGTAGTGCCACAGGGTCTCAGGCTACTGCTCTAGACAAATGCAAAGTGATAAATTATTGTCTCCGGGACCTTAATGATGTGATTTAATATAAGAACCAATGTTGTATTTGTCCCAGGACAAGTTGTGCCTGTGTCTGTCCCGCAACAGAAATGTTCCAGGACTGGCACGGGCAGACAAGGTCCTTTGGGTAAATGTGATATTTTTCATTAGACCAAGTAAATAGTTGGAAAATTTGTTCTTTGCAAGCTTTTGGGCACAAACACACTTCTTTAGGCATAGGCATACCAAGAGCCAGGATTGGCATGTACACTCACTCTAACCAGGATTTAGTGAGCAGCTGAATGCAGCGCTTTGGGTGGGGGTGGGGTCTTCCTTTTTGTTTCTATTTTGATTTGGTGCAACTGTTCAGATGCACTTTGCAATACCTCAAGCTCAGTTGTTAGTACTTCTTCTCCTGTAAACCTTTTCAGGATTTATCCTGGGGCAACAGACATGGTCATCTGGAGAACTGCACTTTGTCCCCTACATAAAGAGGTTTATCCTGGGACAAATGCGACATCTGTCTGTTGCCATATAGATATCATAGCAAGGAAACACAATGAAGTATTGGAGTTGGCAGAATTATGATAGCAGAAGAGAATGAGATATAACACTGAGGCCAAGCTTTTTGCACAGCCTCTTCAAGTGCTGCTCTGATCCCCTTCCCCTGCCTGATCTGCTGCTCTGCTGTTTCCTTCCCTGTGTTCCCTGCCTGATTTACTGCTTTACTTTCTGCTTCCTGTCTTATCTTCTGCTGTGCTGCCTGTTCCCTCCCTGATTTGCCATGTGTTACACACACAGGCTTCCTGTGCCACAAGTTGGGCACCCCTGAGATGTAAGAAAGCACATACCATTCATGGGTGTGTACGTACGTGTTTTGTTAGTTCCCCTCAGGTACATATATGTATATGTACAATATAAAATCGTATGTAGCACCTGAAATGAAAGCCAAACAGAAGCTGAAAGTTTATAATTTAATATCTGGGGCAATGTTGATTGATACACAGATAACATCTCTATGGGGAGTTTCTAATTATGCTTAGAGCACAATCAGAACATTGGGAGTCCATAGCATGAAGAACAATGTGCAGGAAGCTGTTCAAAGTCCCTAATACAGACTTGGTGTCTGGCAAGAAACCTCTGAAAAAGACATGAAGAAGGGCACTTCATACCCAGAATATTGTCTATATGCCTCCTAATCATACAGTTGGTTCAATAAAAATATCATCCACAAAAATTCTTGACTCTTGTAAATTTGGAAAAAAACCAAGTTTTTCAGAAGCTGCTAGAGATTGTATGTTAGCTTCAGGATTTGAATTGGGGTACTTGCAAAAAAAAAAAATACTTTCTCTGGTGGCTGTAAATTTGTACTCCAGACTTCACATTCTCAATTTTAAAAAGAAAACAAAAACCCCTGTAACCATTGCAGTTGTAAAGATAACCTACATATTTTGTAACAGATATTGAAGTCTATATCTGAGGGATAAATTGCTCTGTTTTGTTGGTATTTGAAGTTACCAACCTAACCTTTTTTTATGTATAGGGACAATCAACTTGAAATTTATGCTTCAAATACTCTGCCTTCTATTTTACACTATCCTCTAATGCATTAGAAAATAAGATGATGTTTACCCTGCTTCATTTGTGGACAGTCAGTTCCATCATTTTATGGTGGAAAGCTCCATCACTGCTGCAAATCTAGTGGTCTTAAAATACAGGCGCGTCTTGTGACCCCTTTCCAAACCTTTTTAGTATGCCCTGAGCACGTCTACACGAGATGCCTGAATGCACAGCAGACCGTTCTACTGCACATTAGCACATCATGGCAAAACCCAGGTTAATGTGCAGTAGAATTTGTCTACTGTGCATTATCACAACAAAGTTCACCTTTGCTATTGCACATTAGCGCAGCTACTGCACCTTGACCTAGTAGCTCATACTAGAGATACTACACAATGTGCAGTAGTGAAGGCACATTAATGAACGTGTAAACACACCCTCTGACAATGAGCATATCACCCATGGCAACATATTCTGACCCAAAGGCACTGGGCATTACTTTGGATATCAAGATTATCCAGTGTTATTCTAATGTAATAAAAGCCTTACGCTGTCTGTCTGTCTGTCGGTAACACTTTAATTACGCTCTGATTGGTTGTCTCAGGAGCCAGTCACAATGCTGACTGAAATAACCAATCAGAGTGCTCTGCACAGACAGATACACACGGCGGAGCACCACCACAACAGCAGGTACTGAAGGGCCAGAGCAGCCCCCAACCTGGCCCTGCTCCTTGGAGGTAGAGGGGGATGATGGGGACTAGAGTGCCGCTGTAAAGGAGGTGATGGAGTGGGGGGATGAGACTCCCCTGGGTCTGCTGGTTGGAGCCAGGAGCTGGTGCCCCCACCCCGAACAACAGCAGTCAGCAGGGAGGGGAGGCAGCGGGGAACAGGAGAGGGAGGGGAGCAGGAAGGTGTGGGGGGGGGTTACAGCCCGAAGTGGCAGAGCGGGAGAGGGGAGATGGCTCCGGCCCCAGGCGGGGCAGAACAGTGGCAGCATGGGGTGTTAGGTGGTAGCCCCCTCCCGCCCCTACCCCACATCATTCTTGATGGGCAATTGGAAAGTTCAAATATTATAAAATATATTATAAATATATATATTATAAATATATATTATAAAAGCCTATCCGTCTGTCTGT